GGGAGGTGAATTGCCTTAAGGATGGTGCACCTCACTGGCTCTAAGGCATTGTTATTGACAATGAGTTAGCAAGAAAAATGACAAAGAAATGATCTCAGACCAAAGTGAGCAATGGCGGGGGAGCTATTCATTGCCCTTTTTCAAGAAATCTAAGGCTTCATTTGAGGAGGCAGTGAATTTCTGTTCGTTTGGAGCGAACGTGACGTCTGGAAAAATTCTTGATTGGTGAAACAATGCAGAGATGAAGGTCTCTCAAAGTTCTTTGGTAAAACAACAAATTTTCATTGTTTCAGATCACAACTTGTCTCCTCTGATTTGATAACACAGCTTCTATAGTAAATTTGGTGAATGTTACCGTTGTTTCAAAAGAAACCTAAGGATTCCCTTTGAAATAATCTCAAATGGGTTATTAATTTCTCTACTATCAGGATTGACTATAGCTTCTACTTGGTACCCTCTTGTGATGGCTCTTAGTTATAAGAGATTGTTTCAATAAGTTACTCTGAAGTTGAAGGCAACCGGGTCATTGTAAGTTGAACTTAGATAAAAAAAAAATGTGAAAAGAATGGTATGGCCATCAAGCTTTTACATGAAAGAGAGTCCTTCATGCAAATGACAACATTCCATGCAAGAAAATACTATGAGAGTTGTAGGCTTGTTTGGAGAAAGGAGGCAACTCATCAAGCAATTAGAAGATTATATTAAAAAAATACAATGGGCTAAATTTTATGAAGCGTGATGATATCAGGTACAAAAGAACTCAAGGGTGCAAGAGAACTTCATAAAATCATTCTTCTATAAAGAGAAAATCTTCGAGAAATAGAAGTTGGCATTGATTATTGTTTAAAATATTGTTGGCTTGCTATAAAAATCTAAGTACTATATAAGAACCTCTTAGATAGCTTAATGACATGTGATTCTTCAAAAAGCAGCTATAATGGAGCTAGTGCAATCAATAGCAATTAATATGAGCTCACTTTTGCTACTTTTTTCTTTTATCATATACTTATAAGTAGACGAAAAAATTTTATCCTTAATTCAACAGAACATCAATAAGTGACTAAAATTATTTTCAATCTTTTATTTTTTTGCAAAATAGATATACTATTGAGTCTGCAGGCTATTGAGTAAAATGAATACTATGAGTTTTGGATAAGTTCTTGAAAAGTCAAAATAATACTTAATTGATATTTCTATCAACTACACTAACTTATTTTTTCCATTTTTATTCTTTTATAACTCTTCATCTTGGATGGGCGTTACTTTTCATTAAAACTCAATCTTCATAGAGGTAGCCATCTTGAATTTTCTATTAGAATAGGCATGCACACCACTCAATATAGTGATGGCTCTTAGTTATAAGAGATTGTTTCAATTAGTTACTCTGAAGTTGAAGGAAACCGAGTCATTGTAAGTTGAACTTAGATAAAAAAAAAATTGTGAAAAGAATGGTTTGGTCATCAAGCTTTTACATGAAAGAGAGTCCTTCATGCAAATGGCAGCATTACATGCAAGAAAGTATTATGAGAGTTGTAGGCTTATTTGGAGAAAGAAGGCAACTCATCAAGCAATTAGAATATTATATTAAAAAAAATACAATGGGCTAAATTTTGTGAAGTGTGATGATATCAGGTACAAAAGAACTCAAGGGTGCAAGAGAACTTCATAAAATCATTCTTCTATAAAGAGAAAATCTTCGAGAAATAGAAGTTGGCATTGATTATTGTTTAAAATATTGTTGGCTTGCTATAAAAATCTAAGTACTATATAAGAACCTCTTAGATAGCTTAATGACATGTGATTCTTCAAAAAGCAGCTATAATGGAGCTAGTGCAATCAATATGAGCTCACTTTTGCTACTTTTTTCTTTTATCATAAACTTATATTATCCTTAATTGAAAAGAACATCAATAAGTGACTAAAATTATTTTCAATCTTTTATTTTTTTCAAAATAGATATACTATTGAGTCAATTATTTCTCTGCAGGTTATTGAGTAAAATGAATACTATGAGTTTTGGATAAGTTCTTGAAAAGTCAAAATAATACTTAATTGATATTTCTATCAACTACACTAACTTATTTCTTCCATTTTTATTCTTTTATAACTCTTCATTTTGGATGGTCGTTACTTTTCATTAAAACTCAATCTTTATAGAGGTAGCCATCTTGATTTTTCTATTAGAATAGTCATGCACACCACTCAATATAAATCTTGTCATAAATTATGAGTCAAATTACGAGGCTGGAATTTCATGATTTAGGGGTAATAAAAGAATGAGGCATGGTGCTTGAGATTTTCCTAATGAACTAGGATTTTTTTTTAAGTGATTTGAGATCATTCCCTTTAAAATAAGAGATAAGTATAAACTTGAAATTAAAGGGGAGCACATGGACATTGTAAGATTTTTTTTTTCGTTGAAAGAGAAGTGGTTGTGACCTTTTAAGCATATTGAATATATATCCTTTTGAGAGAATACTTTAATTGAAAATGAAAATTAAACTCATAGAAAGGGGCATATTCTCTTGCCATTCTTAGAAGAGACAAAATTTGTGAGTCATCGATGAAATAGTTCAAAAAATTCTTTGGCATGAGCTTTAACTTGCCTCTTCTTATGTTGAATTTGTCGGATATTTATGAGACACCAAATTTAAAGAAGGATTTTCATTGAATTTATTTTATTTTAAAAATTAAATGCTTCTTTTTTTATCGATACACATAAGTATAGTATGCAAAATAATACTCAGATGCAAAAATAGAGGGAAAGGAGATTGTCCCTCATTCTTAATGGAAAGAAGGCTTTAACTCATTTTTGCTCCTTGCTCTTCGCACTGCCTTTTATGTTGGTAGGATCTAGGAGCAAGCTACTTCTTATTAATACAAGTTATATTTCAAATAGAACCTAATTTACTAAGTGTTGATTATCAAGTTGTTGCTTCTATTTTCCTTAAAACTAGACATTTAGCAGAAAATGTCTTCTCTTTAAATTTAGATTTATAATATTTTATCATCTTTCGTTTGAGATATTCCTATTTTATTGATGTTTTTGTCTAGAGCTTCTCTAGTAGGTCTACAACTATCTGTTATCTTCTTGATTTGTCTCAAATTATTCTTCCATCTCACTTTCTTTAACATTCAAAGTGGTTACCGCTAACTAGCTATGTAATTTATACTCGATTAGAAGCAGTGCTTCCATCCCATAGAACATTGCTAAAGGGGTTTGGTTGGTTACAAGGGATGGTATGGTTCTTAAGGTGCATAGGATAGATGCGAACACTTCAACTCACTCATCTTCGATACTTTAATTTTCTTAATAGGTTTAAAATTAATATTTTGCTACTTTCCCTTACCCATTGGTTTATTGATGGTGGATCCAGGCAAAATTAAGGCAATTTCCTTGGGCTTGGTTGAATTCCATGATTTTCTTATTAAGAAATTGACATATTATTTGTAATTATGGCTATCAAGGGACTATATTTATAAATGATGACATACCACATGAAGTTATAAATGACTTTTGTAGTAGTCCGCCAAATTCTTCGCATCAATTCACTTCATACAATGATTAACGATCACTAATATAAATTTAGTCTGCCAATTGGATGCATGCCCCAATCAGGTCCATTCTCCAAACTACCAATGCCCATGAGTTGGATATTTATTGTAACTTGTAAGAGGGCTATATTTTCATAAGATTTTTTTTTATATTATAGATATTTTTAGGCAAAAAAAACATTTCCATCCTATCTGAGGTATACCAAAAGCATCCCTAACGTACGATTATATGTGCTCGAAGTTTTTTCTTCATATTCAAATACTCAATAATGCTCTACCCAACTTTTCAAAACCACATATTCAATCGGGATCACTTTTGATTCTTTGATATTGGTCTATGATAACTTTGCCATCTATCTCCCATTAAGTTTCTTTTTTTTTAAGATATGTTAGCAAGTTAGTTATGCTCATATAGAATATATTCGGTTTTGAAGTACTTAGATTAGTTTCTCTTCCTTCACTTTGAAAGGTTAGCTTTATAGAGTTTTGTCCTCTTTTTGCAATCGCCCCTCAAAGATACATGATAATTGAAATTTTTTTAATTTTTATTATTCTAATTTACCATGAGTTATGAGTATAAGAATATGATAAATTTTTAGCTTTAATTTTATCTGCAAAATGCAATCTAGCAGGTAGAGTTTCTTGCTTTGCTTTATTGCTAGTGATCTTGAACTTAATCATGATTTTGTGTGCTAGCATAATTTCAACTATGCTTTTTTTTAAATCTTGCTAAATCCCAACTCGGCTGGCTTGATTTAAATATTCGTGTTCGTGTTCGGCTCAAAATTAGCTCGTTAAACTAAAATTGAGAAAAATAGATGCAAAGTGTGGGATTCGAACCTGGATTAAATCTATACAAAAGAATACACTAACCACACTGTCAGATGAGGTGTTATGATTTAAACTTAGACATAAATATATGTTATATATTGATATATAAAAAGTTATATAATTTTTTTTTTTCGACACGAGCGAACAAATACATGAGCGAACAAACTGTTGTTCGTGTTCGGCGCGTA